CCCCCTTAACCCCCATGCCCCCTGCCGACACCTTGCTTTTTTTTTTTTTTTTAAGAATTATTTAATTCATCATCGATATTATTTTTCAATTTGACTAGACAAAGAGAGGAAAAGTGAGAAAGAAAGCAAGCCGCCAGGTCAGGTACTTGAACCACTCTCAGCCATGTGGGAATCCAGGACCCTAGCCATCACTCCATCTGCCAGCCCCTCTTTTTTCTTTTTTTTTTAATTACATGTAATATGCTTCATTTTTTAAAAAACAGTTTTTGCTCTAGGCCATGTGCTCTTACCAGAGACAGACAGAGAAAGCGATAAATCACCTCCCTGGGGGATGGCCACACCACAATCCCCTCTCCTCCAATTCACCTCTCTGTATCTTGGACATGTACAAACACACTCCTGATGTGATTTTCACGTCACCAGGTCCAGGACTTGAAACACAAAGTCAGCCATGTGAGAATCCAGTGCTTTAACGTCATGCCACCTGCTGGCACCAGCTTCATTTTTTATAAAAACAGAATTATTTGTTTTAATTTGACCAGAGAAAATCAGAGACAGAGACAGAGAGAGCAAGGAAGCAAGCCACTAGGTCCGGGACTTGAACTATGGTCAACCATGTGAGAATCCAGTGTCCCAACCACCTTGCCACCTTCTGGCTCTCTCTCTCTCTTTTTTTTTTTAATGAGAGACCACAAGAGAGCAAGTAAGCAAACACAGGGGGACAGAGAGGTATTTGTGATCCGGCCCTCCCATGCAGCCCCAGCTATTCCACAGCGGTATCCTCTCACTTACATCACTATGGCTAGGCCTGGGGCTTCCAATTTTAAGTGTCTTGAAATGTCAACATTTCTGGGAGATAATTAGGGCGTAAAATTAATTTTTTATTAAGTTCAGTGAATTTTTTCAAGTGCCAGCTGCTTTCACCCTAGGCGAAGGCGGAGCCCTCCGTTCCAGCTGGGCTCCCTGTTGTGGCGAATGCGACATCGGTGAGAGCAGATCCTGCCAGCAGTGGGTGGGCTGCGCCTGGGCTCGTGGCTGATCCTCGGGTCCACAGACGTTGTCACCTTTCGAGTCTGCCTGGTTATGACAGAAGTTGGCCTCAGCTCTTCTGCTGTAAATGGAGATTGAAGCGAAACTTTCACTGAAGCTAGGATGGAATAGCGACAGCCAGATCTGAGTTTGAATCCTAACTCTGTTACTGATTACAAGCATGACCTTTGGGCAAGATGTCTTTTTTCCTTTTAAACAATGGGCACGAAGTAAGAGAGGGTTCTACTGCACTCCCCTGGGGTGTAGCGGGGTTGAAGTGGGCAAGGTAACACCACTGAACTCAGTGTGCTCGTCTGTAAAATGGGGGCAGTGGTATTAGTTGGAGCCATTTGAAATTGCCAGTGTTTTGACCTTTGAAGATGTGATTTCCTTTGTCTATCTGGCGAGTGCACGTGCCCTATAACAAAAGCCTCTCCAAAAAGAAAAAAAAAAGCGAAGAGAGTAAGAGGGAAATACATACATATATATATATATATATTAGGAGAAAAGAGTATGGGCGATATGAGTTGGCAAAGAGAAAGGTTTTTTTCCTCTCAAAAGCCACTCCTCTGTATAAAATGAAATTTTAGAATAGTTAAAATCCAGTACATTATTCACAAGCTTTCTTGATTACATAACCATTTCCCTTCTTGGAGAATCAATTGTCTTTAAATATTGAAATGTGGCATTTAGCTTGGGATTGGAGTGACTGAGCAGTTCTGAAAACCCTTTTTTCTAGGTCCTTTGGACCCCTCAGGTACTGTCCAATGGCGTCCAGTTCTCCCGTGTCAGTCCTGATGGTGAGGAAGGCTACTCTGGAGAATTAAAAGTCTGGGTGACATACACGCTCAGTGGTGGGGAGCTCACCGTCAACTATCGCGCACAGGCCAGTCAGACCACGCCGGTCAACCTGACCAACCATTCTTATTTCAACCTGGCAGGCCAGGTAAGTGAAGGCTCTTCTTTCCTGTTGGACCAGTGTGCTTTGTGGAGTGACCACAGGGCATGTCTGGCAGACCAACCTAGTGTGGAATAACTATGGCAATGGCGTCACCCCATGATAATGAAAAGGGCCCAGCAGAGCATCCGCTCATAGTAGGTGCTCAGTAAGTGAAAGTTACAGAGAAAGGCAGAATGAATACATTGTACCACCAGGAAAGCATCTGCTTACTTTACGCTAGAGACAAGGAACTAGCTATTTCACTGTAACAAGTGTGTACATTGGCTTTCATTTCTTTGTTTTTTTAATTTTCATTTATTTTTTAAAAGAGATTTTTGTTATAGGGCATGTGCGCTCACTGTAGAGACAGAGAGACAGAAAGCAAGAAGTCACACCCTGGCGGGGGTGGGGTGGCCACACTACAATTCCTTCTCCATTCTCCTCTTGGGATTTTGAGTACACACGCACCCAGTGTGAGTTTTAAGCTGCAGGGTCTGGGGCTTGAACATGGTTGATCACATGGGAGTCTAGCAACATAACTGTTATGCCACCTGCTTGTCCCATTTTTCTATTTTAATTTTTAAATTTTTTGCTACAGGGTGCATGTGCTCACTGGAAAGAGACAATGAGAAAGAGAAAGAAAAGGAAAATTAGAAACCACCCCCAGGGGTTGACCATGCTGCAGTCTTTTCTGCTGCACTTTCAGGATTTAGGGACACACATGTACATGTACCTGGTGTGTTTTTCATGTTGCCGGGTCCAGGACCTGAATTGTACAGTCAGCCACTTGGGAGCCAGTCATCCCAGCCACTATGCCATCGGCTGACCTGGCTGCCACTTCTGTCCTCCCAGAAATTACCTCCAGTTAAGGTGCTTTCAACCCTTGGATCTTAGAAATGTGCTTGACCCAGCCCCTTTAGCTATGCTGCCCATATGTGATAACCCCCTCTGTGGCCCACTGGCTCTTCCCAGAATTTTAGGTGGCCGGCCATGCCCTGCACAGTACCCTGGAAAGAGCACTAGACATGGCTTCAGAAGACCTGGGTTTTTTAGATTAAGCATATTCTCAATTTCCTAATAATAACTACCTACAATTTGTCAGCTACTGTTAAAAGCAGCTTATGAAGTCATTGGTAAAGTCATTACTGAAATCACTCCAGCATAGTGGGAGGACACTTAACATCCACATGAGGCCAGCCTACATTCCAGTGGTTAAGGGAGCCATATTCCACGTGGCCAACCACGTAGTTTGAATCGCAGCTGCAAAGGAGAAGGGATTGCAGTAGGACCACACCCCATCGGGAGGTGCTTCCTCCACTCCCTCTCACTCTTTCTCTGTCTTTCGTCTCTCTGGTGAGCACACATGCTCTCTGGGGTGGGGGGGAAGCCCACCTACAAATGGGAGAGAACTGCTGACAATCCTTCTTAAGCCATCTCCTCTAAACTTACTCTCTTTTGAGCTTGTTGAGGAGGTTGTCACATGAGGCTATCAAAAGCCTAGCTAAACACAGAAGATTATATTTATTTATTTATTTATTTATTTATTTTGAAGAGGTTTTTTGCTATAGGGCATGTGCGCTCGCCAGACAGACAGAGACAGAGAAACAGAAAGTGAGAAATCACCCCCTGGGGGGATGGCCACGCCGCAATCCATTCTCCTCTCGGGATCCTGGGCATGCACGCACACACGCCCGGCGTGAGTTTAAGCCACCAGGTCCAGGACGTGCACCACGGTCAACTATACAGGAGTCCAGCGACATAGCCATTACGCTAACTGCTGGTCCTAGAAGTTTATATTTATTACTTCCTCTTTATCTGAGAAACTCTTCGTTGTTCAATACACTTGATTACTTTGGTATGATTTCCCACCACAAGATGTTAGTGATAGCCAGCCAGTATTAGCTTGCATTTTTATACTCTTTTAGGAGTTTGCTGATGATCTGCTGATTATTTTTTTCTAGAGTCATCTCAAACAGCAGAGTTAATTGGTTCTTATCTAATTTCCAAAGTTCTCCCTTTAAAAATAAGAAACCTGGTTCTCTACTCACCGTTCTTTATCTTCAGAAAACTTGACCATCCTTGAGATCTTGATCTTTTTTTTTTTTTTGGAGAGGTTTTTGCTATAGGACGCGTGCACTCACCAGAAAGACAGAGAGAGACAGAGAGACAGAAAGTGAGAAATCACTCCCCTAGGGGGGATGGCCACGCCGCAATCCCTTCTCCTCCATTCTCCTCTCAGGATCCTGGGCACGCACATACACACACCTGGCATGATGAGTTTAAGCCACCAGGTCCGGGACTCAAACCACAGTCAACTACATGAGAGTCCAGCAACGTAGCCATTATGCCATCTGCTGGTCCCAAATAATTATTTTTTAAAAAAGAAACTGAATAGTCTCCCAGATCATCGTGGCCACCCAGAAGGGTGGTTACGTAAACTCTCTTCCATATGTTATCTTAGTAATAGCAGCTCGAGTCCACAGCCACCACCTCAGAGTTGAGGGTGGAAGGGGGCTACCAGCTTTCTGGGGCCTTCAGATAGGAGTGGATGATCAATCACCAGGCCTGGAGTCAAGGGCATCTGCATCTCTTGCCTTATCCTGGGAAGCATTACCATCTGTCTCAAACTCTCCCCATGGAAATAGCTCAAAATTTGACATTTAATGTAGTCAGCTCATCTTGTCATTGTTTAATTTTTAAATTTTTAATAAGCAATATTTTTGTTCTATTTGGGGCTCAGTCATTAGCTTACCACTTCTAAGTTTGAGTGTTGAAAGCATGGAGGAAGGGGAGAACTCTTTCTCAAAAAAATGGAACAGATATGCAGGTTGCAGTTGCTTTTTGTTTTTCTGTTTCTTCCTGTGCTTAACATAAAATTGAGACTAGTCTTTTTTTTTTTTTTTTTTTTTTTTTTTTTGTTTTTTTTTTTTTTTTTTTTTTTTTCTTATTGAAAGTTTACCTAAAGAACTGTGAAAGCAGGTCTGGGGCATTTGGGATAAGAAGCAGTAGCTGTGATTCTGGTATGATTGTGTAGGTATGCCATCAAAGCCCCAGGTTCTTCCATTTTTCCATCTAATATATTTTAGCTTTTGTCTTCAGGATTATCTCCTCCTCATGGTCACAGATGGTTGCCACAGCTCCAGGAACCACCTCCTCATGCATTTCTTCCTAGAGACAAAAAAAAAAAAAAAAAGAAAAAAGAAAGAAAGAAAGGGCCTAGTCCTTTCTTCATATCTCTAATGTTCCCTTTATTTTTAAAAAATAATTATTTAAGTTTTTATTTTCTTCTTCAGTTAGACCAGGGAGACACAGAGAGAGAGAGAGGTGGAAAGGGAGAGTGGGAAAGTGAGAAAGCAAGTCACCAGATCAGGGTCTCGAACCATGGTCAGCCATGTGAGAGTCCAGTGCCTTAACTACTATACCACCTGCAGGACTCCAGTGTTCCCTTTCTTAAAACATGCAGGGCCTTTCCTAGAAGCCTGTCTGCAAACTTTTTCTCATCTTACTGGCCAGAAGTATGGGGTATGCTCTGCCTAACTCGTACCCAGTGAGAGGATTAGATTACTATAATTGGCTTAGACCAATCAAAATTCACCTAAGGGGTTGGGAGGAGATCCCTCTCCCTGAATCTATGGCTAGCATAGGACAAATCACCAAGTCAAGTTCCTGCTAAGGGAAGTGAGGCTGCTGGTAAGGGGGTTGCTATAGTAACCAGTTGTGTTTCCTCTCAGTAGAGGCAGTAAGAGCTGAGTTAAGGCAATGGTAGGTGGCAATGCACCAAGAGGCCTTTACATCCCTGTGCAAGTCACAATGGTCTCTATTTTTTTAAAAATAATTATTTTATTTAACTTTATTATTATTATTACTATTTTTTTCAGTTTGATCAGACATACAGAGAGAGAGGGAAAGTGAAAAAGCAAGCCACCAGGTCTAGGATCTGAACCACAGTCAACCATATGGGAGTCCAGTATCTTTAACCACCACGCCACCTGCCGGCCCCAACAATGGGCTCTATTAATGGTTAATGTTACAAACTAGTAGCCACCAAGCAAGTTAACTATACAAACAGTGAACTCAGAGATGGGCCTCAGGGTCTCTATGTGAATCAGAATTTCTTGCCAAGTTTTCATCAGCCTTGAAAGGAAATGAATCTAACACTAATCTTCCACCAGAGTAGTCACTGCATCTTTTCCAGGCCAGAAGAGTCATAAAACAAAGCATGCTTCTCCTTAATGCAAGATGTTAGTGGTGACCCAGCGGCGGTTAAGAGAGCAGGTACCTGAGACCGACAGCGTGATGGTTACATTGCTAGACTCCCACGTAGTCAACCACAGTTTGAGTCTCGGACCCAGCAACGTAAAACACATCAGGTACATGTGCATGTGTGCCCAAGATCCCGAGAGGAGAATGGAGGAGAAGGGATTGTGGCGTGGCCATCCCCCCTGGGGGGTGATTTCTCGCTTTCTGTCTCTATGTCTCTCTCTTTCTGGTGAGCACATGTACCCTATAGCAAAACCCTCTCCAAAAAAAGAAAAAAAATAGAGAGAGACAGAGCAGGTGCCTGACAAATTGTTCCTTTCCTTCTCCTCCCAGGCTTCCTCCTAACATCTCAGATACATCGATTTATTTTGTGTGTGATTTCCAGGTTGATTCATTTTCTTCCTGTTCTAGAACTTAAAAGAAAAAACAAACACGGGCCAGCAGGTGGTGTGGTGGTTGGTGGACCACGGTTTGAGTCCGGACCTAATGGCTTGTTTTCTCACTCCCCCCCCCCTCTCTCTGGTCAGATTGGAATAAATGAATGAATAAATAAATAATTCTTTAAACAAAAAGAAAGAAAAAGAAACCCAGAAAAATAGAGGAAGAAAATTCCCAGGGAGCTTTACTATAATAGTGAATTAATGGAAACAAACCCAAAGTTCATCAGTAGGAGAATGGCCAGACAAAGGGGTAATACTCTACAATGAAAAGGAACAAATTACTGATCATCACATGGGTGATCTCGGAGCATTATGTTCGTAGAAGTAGCAAGGCGCAAAAAAATAATATATACTGTATGGTTCTGTTTCTTTTCTTTTTTCTTTCTTTCTTTTTTAAGTTTATTTATTTATTTATTTTAATTTTACCAGAAAAGGACAGAGTGATAGAGAGAGAGGAAGTGAGAAAGCAAACCACTGGGTCCCAGACTTGAACCATGGTTGGTTATGTGGGAGTCCAGTGCCCTCAACCACCACGCCACTTGCCCCCCCCCTTTTTTTTTTGATAGGTTTTTGCTATAAGGTGTGTGCAACCACCACACCAGAGAGACAGAAAACAAGAAATCACCCTCCAGGGGGGATGGCCACGCCACAATCCCTTCTCCTCCATTCTCCTCTCAAGATCTTGGGCACGCACACACGCGCCCGGCCCATGGTCAACTATATAGGAGTCCAGCGACATAGCCATTACGCCAACTGCTGGCCCCTGTATGATTCTGTTTCTGTAAAGTTCTAGATGAAGGAAGACTAATCTATAGTGATATAAATCAGAATAGTGGTCCAGTTTTAGGCAGGTATTTATTAAGAAGAAGAAGAAAGGAAGGAAAGAAGGTAAAAGGTGCTGGAGAGACAGAGCGAAGACCTGGGTAAATGAGAGGGCACGGGTCCCGAGAGTGACCTCATCTGCTGCAGGTGTCACTCCCTGAGTGACGTTCAAGAGGCTGTGCTCCTCCAGTCTCACGTGTGCGAAGGAAGGATGGAGGAGCATTGATCCATCTGGGCTCTCCTTTCTGAGATACCTCATTCCTCCATGTGGGCTCCAGCCCCTGGCTTAGTACCTACCACCAAGGCCTCTACCAAACCTTCCATGTCCCTGTCTGGGCTGACCCAAAGCCTTCCATGTTGAGCTGGGCTTTTGTATTTTTTATTTTGCCAGAGGGTACAAGTGCTTACCAGAGAGAGAGAAAGAGAAGGAGACCAAAAGTGAGAAAGCATCCTCCCACCATGGGGAATGGTCACACCACAATCCCTCCTCCATTTCTCCCTCCTGTTAGGATTTTGGGCAGCGTGCATATGTGCCTAGTGTGTTTTTCAAGCTGCTGGGTCTAGATTCGAACCACGCAGTTGACCATGTGGGGTCCAGCTGCCTTAACCACCACACCACAGGCTGGCCCAAGCATTGACTTTTGAACATTCAGTGAGCCAGAGCCCCCACCTGGTTCCCCTTCCTATCTTCTGCTATGAAGCTTTAAAATACACTACTGTTAATAATAAGAAATACTCCTTGTATTAAAAATGTATGTGTAAAGTATCTTTTAATTTGCAAATAACTACACACCTTAACTGCTCCACAGAAGGAGCCTGGAAAAGAGTAGGAGCATCATTACCCCAATTTTACACCAAAAGAAATAAGATTTTGGGGCCAGCGGGAGACATGGTGGTTAAGGTGCTGGACTCCTACATGGCTGACCGTGTTCGAATCTCAGACCTGGCGACTTGTTTTCTCACTTTACATCCCCCTCTCAGATGAGTGCTATTCCCTATAGCAAATTAAACAACAATAATAATAAATTAAATTAATTATTATTTTTTTAAAAAAGAAAGAAGATTCTAGGAGGCTAAGTTACTTTCCCGGGCTACTCATTAAGAGCCAGAATTAGACCCCAGATCTTCCAACACTGACTAGTGCTTTCTGAACCACCAGCCTTTGATTCCCCCAAAGGACAGGCTGCATCTTTATGGAGGAGGCGGACAAATTCTCACAAAGCGGAGACTGCAGTTCTGCTTCCTGGCTTCTATCACGTGGCGGGGATTGGGTCCCTGAGTAAGAGCTGGGCCAGAAAGGAGTGAGAGAAGCCCCCTACCCTGGTGAGCCTGGGAGTGGTGCTTTGGCTGTCTAGGAGCTGTGTGCTACTGGTCACTGACCCTTACTCTTCTGTTTGTCTGGTATGTGAGGAGAGAAGAAACCTCTTAACTAATAAGCCAAGGTCCAAAAGGCTTTCACAGCACCGTGGACTGACTTTTCACCTTCATATTTCCTTGAGAAAAGAAAGTGCATGCTGGATCATGCTTGAAAGTTTCTTCCAAACTTATCAATCCCTATTTTGAGACCCTGTCGACCTCCATTTAAATGGTCATATTTAATCATCAATCGATAAAGTAAGATTTCTGAAGCTTTGGTCAATGCCCAAAAACATTTTTGCAAGAAAAGTTATAAAGCAAATATATAAAATATGTAAGCATTGAGGGCCAGCCTGTGTTAAATGAGTTGGATTCCCCGTGACTGACCACGTGGTGTGAGTCCTGGACCCAGCAGCTTGAAAAACATGTGGGGCTCATGTGTGTGGGTTCCTAAAATCCCAAAAGAAGGGAGAAATGGAGAAGGGATTGTGGCATGACTGCTTCCCATGGGGAGTGCTTTCTCTCTCTCTGTCTCTGGTGAGCACAGGCACCCTCTGCAAACTAAAAGAAAAAGGCTAAGCATTGCATATTCTTTTCTTCCCCCTCTCTTTTCCCTCCCAGGGTTCCCCGAATATATATGACCATGAAGTCACCATAGAGGCTGATGCTTTTTTGCCTGTGGATGAAACCCTGATTCCAACAGGTTTGTGAATTTAAGCTTTCTGTGAGTATACATAGCTGGAGTGCAATTTGAGGAGGATTGAAAACTTCATATCCCTAACATTATTTTCCCAGGTGACATGCAAAAATGCCTATAATTACCATTACTAGTTATTTATTTTGGTTAAGGTCAAGTAACTATATAATTAAAGACCCAAGCTAGAATACTTTCCAGAGGGAAAAGGGACAGTATTAATAATTAAGCTGGAGTAACAGGTGTCAATCAGGACGTCTCAAGCAAACTGGGTCATAGAGTCATCCTGACTAGACCCCAAGATTTCTCTACTAAAATGCATGTCTGTTACTTTTTAGACCCTTAGCAGAGGTTAACTTACCAAATATTACCTCACAAATATAGAAAACTGATGGGACGTTAAGTGGTTTTGATAGAACAGAAAAAGGTAGAATGAGTTGTTCCCAGAGAAGACAAATGCAGGTAGGTCACCTGAGATACAGTTAGGGAAATGGAGTGGAACTGGGATGGTGGGAAGAGGAGAGACAAAATCACAAAGGAAGATGAAATGTTTCCACAGTCAAATTTTATGGGTCTGAGTATGTATGTGTGCGTGTGTGTGTGTGTGAGTACGTGTGTGTTTTCTAGTTTAACTGGACTGAGATCACCTTGGTTATTATCTGGGATGGCAAGAACCTGTTCAAATGGGCAAATGCATACAGACAAAAAGTAGGTTAGTGGATTGTCAGGGGCTGGGAGCAGAGAGGAATGGGAAGTGACAACGGGTAGATTACTTTCAGGGGTGATGAAAAATTAGATAGTGGTGATGGTTGCCCAACCTAGTAAATATACTAGACACCACTGAATGGTGTGCTTTCAAAGGGCACGTTTTATGGTATGGAAATATCTGAATTTAAAAAAAGAAAGAAAGGAACTGGTGCAATGGTATGCATCTATAACCCCAGCTCCATAAGAGGCTGAGGCAAGAGTATTGTGAGTTCAAGGCCAGTCTGGGTGATGTAGTGAGACCCTGTCAAAAAATGGAAAGAAGGAAGGAAGGAAAAAAATGGAAAAAAGACAGAAAAAGTGACCCTAAGTTCATGTCCAGGATTAAGTGGTGCAATTTTATATCAGATAATATGTACACTCCCATCTACCTCTAGGGGTCAGATGCATGGCAGCAAGATGACCAGTGGGGGTGCCATTTATCACTTACGGTAGCTTGTGGAAGTTAATTTGAAATAACTACCACCAAGCAGGAGATAAATATTCTTACTGGATTTCATTAAAAATGAGATATCAGGGGGCCAGCACATGGCATGGTGGTAAGGAGCTGGACTTCCAAATGGCCAACTGCAGTTTGAGTCCCAAACCCAGTAAAATGAAAATCACACGGGACACATGTGCATACATGCCCAAAATCCCAGGAGGAGAATGGAGGGGAAGGATTGTGGCATGACCATCCTCTCTAGGGAGTGATTTCTCACTTTCCATCTCTGTCTCTGTCTTTGGCAAGTGCATGCACACTATGGCAAAAGGGAAAAAAAAAAAAAAAACCTAAAAAATAATGAAGTCAAGGTCATGAAAAGATGAATACTGAAGGACTGTCAGAAAGGAGACCAAGGAATTATTATGACTAAATGCAATGTAAAATACTGGGTTAGATCCCAATCCTGAGGAAGGCCATTAGTGGGGAAGTTAGAAATATCCTAATAAAATATTTCCTTTATTGGGGACCAGCAGTTAGCATAATGGCTATGTCACTGAACTCGCATGTAGTCAACCGTGGTTCGAGTCCTGGACCTGGTGGCTTAAACTCATGCTGGGCACGTGTGCGTGCGTGCCCAAGATCTCAAGAGGAGAATGGAGGAGAAGGGATTGTGGCATGGCCATCCCCCCTGGGGAGTGATTTCTCACTTTCTGTCTCTCTCTGTTTCTCTCTGTCTTTCTGGTGAGCACATGTGCCCTATAGCAAAAAAAAAAAAAAATCCCTTATTTAACAAAAGTATACCAATGTTAATTTCTTAGTTAGTTTTGATTATTGTATCATGTTTATGTAAGATGTTGACATTAGGGAAAGCCAGAGGAAAAATACACAGAAATGTTCTATTTTTGCAATCTTTCTGTAAATCTAAAATGATTTCAAAATTTCAAAGTTTAAAGAAAAGCCAAATAAGATGTTACTATAAATTTAGTGGATATTTTATAGCAGTTATATAGCGGGGGCCCCTGACCCCAGGCCATGGTACCAGTCTGTGGCCTGTTAGGAACCAGGCACAGCAGCAGGCGAATGGTTAGGCAAGTGGGTGAAGTTTCATCTGTATTTACAGTCACTCCCCATTGCTCACATTACCACCTGAGCTTGCCTCTCATCAGTGTCATTAGATTCTCAAAGGAACAAGAACCATATTGTGAACTGTGTGTGCAAGGGATCTGAGCTGAGAGCTCTTTACAAGAATCAGAAATGCTTGATGATCTGAGGTGGAGCTAAGGCAGTGATGCTAGCACTGGGATCTCCTGCAAATACTACATTAGGATGAGCTGTATAATTATTTCATTATATATTACAATGTAATAATAGAAATAAAGTGTACAGTCAATGTAATGCACTTGAATAATCCCAAAATCCACCCTTACCCCTGGTCCATGGAAGAATTGTCTTCCTTAAAACTGGTCCCTGGTGTAGAAGAGTTGGGGACAGCTGTTATACAGGTTGCTAGAAAGGCTGGGTACTGCTGTTATACAGGTAAGGCTTTTGTTTTTTTCTGCTTTATTTAACACAATGGGGTTGTGCTTATGGCTGCTAGTTCAAAACCTTTATAAGGAGAAAGGTAAGTATGTGAGCCTGCAAACTAAACAGCCACTTCAGTTGACTGTGGGAATAGAAACCTCTAAGAATATATTGACCACAAAGCCAGTTGGAATAATAATGAGAAATTGAGATGAACAGACTAAAATGTTTGGTATCATAGTTTTTAATATTTTCTTGGCTCCAGGGCTGGGTTTAAAGACTTTTTTAGGTTTGTCTTGGTGACATGTGTTGTCTTCTGAAATGTACATGACTCAATAAATGAGCTTGAATAAGTTGGCCCATCTTATCCTAGAAGCAGAATTAATACATTAGAATTGTATGTTGTGAACTACAAGGAGAAAATAGTGGTGGCTGCTGTTTTGTGGCTGATAAGAAAATAAACTAAGGAGGTTGAAAATAAGTGCATATTCATTTGTGTTTATTGATAGCCTGTTGAATTTTGATCAGGTGAAGGTCACAAAAATGCATAATCATGCTGCATAAAGATTCCCTGTCATGTTTGTAAGAGATAATTGAGCAGAGTACAGTCGACCTTCATCTGATACACTGCATAAAATTTATATTTCTCTCAGTTCTAAATAGTAGATGATTTTAAGGTCAGATTCTATATTTTGTCCCATTACTGACCAACCATTAATATAAGTGGCATTGAAGACCTAGAGCCTGGTTCCAGTCCTGGCTTTACTGTTACCTTGCTAAAGGGCCTTCAGTATTTGTAAAAATTCTTTAACATTTAGCCCTTCAAAACTTCCATTTCCTTTTCTATGAATAGTGTGACATTAAACTCAATCAGATTCTATGGATCAGTAAAATTTTGTTTAAAACACAATGTGGGGGGAGCAGCAAGTGGTGTGGTGGTTAAGGCACCAGACTCCTACATGACTGACTGCAGTTCAAGTCCTGGACCTGGCAGCTCACCTTCTCATCTCTCTCTAGGTCCCTCTGGAGAGTGCAAGCACCCTGTAGCAAATTTAAATAAATAAGTAATAAAATTAAACAAATAATTCTTAAAACAAGCAAAAAACAAACACAATTTGGGAGACTTTTATGAGATGCTCAGATTTTGCTAAGTTACAGAGCTATCCTATAAATACAAGGCTATCAAAACTAATTGGAAAAAAAAAAGAAAATTAAAAAAAAAACTAATTGGGAATGTGTTATATTTCAATACAAAATTTAAAAGAAAAACTAATTGGGATAAGACAATAATTAGAAACAGGGATAGACTGCAACAGCATTGGGCATAGTCTACCGCGGTTTAAGTCCTGGACCCAGTGGCTTAAACTCACGCCGGGCGCGTGTGTGTGCGTGCCCAACATCCCGAGAGGAGAATGGAGGAGAAGGGATTGCGGCATGGCCATCCCCCCTGGGGGGTGATTTCTCGCTTTCTGTCTCTCTGTCTTTCTGGCGCGCGCACACGCCCTATAGCAAAAACCTCTCCAAAAAAAAAAAAGGAAAGAAAAGAAACAGAGATAGGCTATATTTAAAACAAAACAAAACAAAACAAAACTGCCATAGATAATCATCATCTTTTCATAAAAGAATTTTTAAATTATTGGGAACCAACGGTTAGCGTAATGGCTATGTCGCTGGACTCCCACGTAGTCTACCGTGGTTCGTGTCCCAGACCCGGTGGCTTAAAACTTACGCCAGGCATGTGTGCGTGTGTGCCCAAGATCCCGAGAGGAGAATGGAGGAGAAGGGATTGCGGTGTGGCCATGCCCCCGGGGGGTGATTTCTCGCTTTCTGTCTCTATGTCTCTCTCTGTCTGTCTGTCTGGCAAGTGCACGCACCCTATAGTGAAAACCTCTCCAAAAAAAAAAAAAAAAGAATTTTTAAATTATTTATTTAACTTTATTTATTATTATTTTTTAAAAATTTGACCAGAGAGAGAAAGACGGGGAGAGAGAGAGATGGAGGGAAAGTGAGAAAGCAAGCCCCCCAGTCCAGGACTCGAGCCATAGTTGGCCATGTGAGAGTTCAGCACCTTAACCACCATGCCATCTGCCAGCTCTAATAAAATAATATTTTAATAGCAAGAAGTAGAAAAAAAACTAGAAATAAAGAACAATCCTTTTTGTTGAATTAATTTAGCTTGTTAAAGAAATATGGTAGCAGATTAACCAAATGTATCTAAGTTTTTTTGGGGGCCAGTGAAAAGTTTATCGTGAACATGTAATTGAGAACTAATAATTGATCTAATAAGGCCACTCCTAGC